CCAGTCCACGATCTGAAACACACACACACACGATTTCATCCGAGAAAACACCTTTATTCACAAAAGGTACAATATATCCACACACAATTAATGTATAGAATTATCATTTCTATTTTAAATAAATGCAGTTCTATTCGTGTAAGAATCCTCCATGTGCATTTTCATCAGGACAATACACAAAAATAAAACACTATATTTTATGGAAGCCTGTTTCCGGCACAGAATAAAGAAAAAAATAAAGCAAGCAAGCAAGCAAATTTTATTTATATAGCACTTTTCTAAACAAGTTAATGCAATTCAAAGTTCTTTACAGACAAGATGGAACCATTTTAAATAAATGCAGTTCTATTCGTGTAAGAATCCTCCATGTGCATTTTCATCAGGACAATACACAAAAATAAAACACTATATTTTATGGAAGCCTGTTTCCGGCACAGAATAAAGAAAAAAATAAAGCAAGCAAGCAAGCAAATTTTATTTATATAGCACTTTTCTAAACAAGTTAATGCAATCTAAGAGTTAAGATCTAAGAGTTCTTCTAGGTTCATATACTGTAAGCAATTTTGAAAGATAGTCTGGAGCAAGTCCGTGCAATGCCTTATAAACGAATAAAAGATTTTTTTAAATCAATATACGAAAACTAACAGGTAACCAGTGCAATGACTTTAATACTGGTGTAATATGATCTCTCTTTTTGTTTTTTGTCAATATTTGAGCAGCAGTATTTTGGATTAATTGTAATTGGTTAATTGTATTCTTCGGTAGAAATGAAAGGAGAGCATTACATCAGTCAAGCCTGCTAGTTATAAATGCATGTATTAATTTTTCTGTGTTGCTCAGAGAAAGAAATGGTCTTACTTTAGCAATGTTCTTTAGATGATAAAATGCTGTTTTGGTAATATTACGTACATGAGCTTTAAAGTTAAAATCAGAATCAAAGACAACTCCTAAGTTTTTTGCCACATGGCTTGGGTTTAATCCGAGTATATTTAGTTTAGACTATGTCTATTTTTGAAGCAATTGATAGCAAAATTTTGGAAGAAATAGTACAGCACCTTAAATCGTCAACCTGCTATCTTGACACACTTCCCACATCTTTTTTCAAAAGGGTGCTTAACTGTTTGGAAGCAGATCTCTTAAAAGTGGTGAACGCCTCACTTCTTTCTGGGACTTTTCCAAACTCCCTGAAAACTGCAGTTGTTAAACCCCTTCTGAAAAAGAGCAATCTTGATAAAACCATATTGAGCAACTATA